CGCCCGCCACGTCGCGTACGTCCTTAGCGGTGCCGGGACAGGGCTCCCTGCTCCGGTACCCGCAGCTGGCGGAAGCGCGCTCTCACCCTCCGCTCGCGTCCCGAGGCACCGGCCCCTCTGTCAGCGGCGCGAAGGCGGTGCTGAGGATCCCCTTCGAGAAGCGCCGGGTTTTGTGGTGCTGCCCTGCGCTCGGCTCTGGGTGACCCTCCTAGCCCTGCTGAAGTAAGTCGTGGTTGTTCTCGTCGTTCGTGGACTGGACTCACTGGAGGGTAAAGAGGCAAAATTCAAGATCTTCACAGGCATAAATTTCTCACATCACGAGCAGGGGTGCCCAGGGTTTGCATTTCTTACTGCATCGCGCCTTTACATCGTCCAACACACCTGCTCCATTTCTCTAACTTTTGTTCTCTTTTTCTACTGTTCACATTTTTCTTCCCTAAAGCCTGGGTTGGTAGGAGGCAGTAATTTGGGTTCGTGTTCATTCTTTTTTATTCTCATTAATTTGCAAAGAATGCCAAGGGAAGTTTCACATCTCCAAAATGAACAGTTTCTGCCCTGCAAGGAGCTTGAAGAACAGTGGGGAGATGGTTGCGTGGGAAGTAACAGAGGTACGTAGACACGGTCTGTATTTTGTTTTATTTGCTGCCAGCATCCTAGGAGGAGTGGGCTTATGAGAGAGCCCGGAAAGCTGAGCTGAATCATGGGAGGTCGTGTTGTGATGAGTGGATGAGGCAGAGAAACATATGATTGAAGGTTATATGGTTGAGGAATGCTGCTCGAGCACAGCAGCGGTAGGGACAACACGATGCTCAACAGAAGAGGGTAGGCTGGGGGAATGCAATTAGGTTGAGCCTTGAAGGAGGACGGAGATTTGGATGTGCTGAACAGCAGGTGAAGAACCAAGTGGAGGGCTGCCAAGGAGCGAGTGGTGTGGTCAGGTTTGTAAGAGGAAGTGTTTGGCCATCCCCGGCTCCCTTGGGTTACAAAGGAGCATTGCATATGCTTGGGATGCAGAGAAGAGAACTTTGCAATAGTTGTGGTAGGATATACCAAAGAAACTAAACAGCAGATTTGTCTGCAAAAATTATAACAGATTGGTCTTGAAGCTGGTGGGGTAGGAGGAAGGCCCGGGGGCTGGCTGCTGTTTGTGCATGACTTGTGGGAAAAGGGAGGGAAGATAGTGGAAACGGGGAGAACATTACTGCTGTCAGCAGTGAAAGAGAAAAAGGAAAGTGAGGCTAAACCAAGGCAACCCAGCACTTCAGCTGGCTTAAAACGATGACAAAATCTCCAGGAAGAAATGCCAGACAGCCACTTGAGCATTGGGATTGAAGAGCGGGAGAAAGGTTGATGGCAGAGGAAGAAATCTGAGAATCGCAAGCACAGAAATGCTATCTAAAATCCTTAAGAATTGCCAGACAGGGCACAAAGGGAGAAAAATGCAGGTCTGTGAAGCCAAGCCTGACATCAAGAAAGGAAAAGAGGATGAGGACTCATTAACAGAAATGATACAGGTGACAATTATTTTGTAATCATAGTAAGTCACTACTTTTGATAATAATAGATCTGGGGATCAATGGGAAAACACCGTAGGGTAGTTTCTGGGAGTTACGGAGTCTGAGGAAGGTAGGTGACCCAGGAACAAGGTTTAAGGACCTTTGAATCCTAGGCCAGTGGGTTCTTTGGTCACATCCACAACTGTAGACGCTCTTTCCCAGCTCATTAGCTCCTGCCTGCTGTGCTACCTTACCCCACATCAGTGATTCCTCTTTAGGAATTTCAGTGTTGAGATCTAAGGTGACTGTGGGGACGAAAGGGATATCTTTCAGCTTCTGTCACTTCAATTTCCCTTCTTGTCCAGGCATCTGCAGGAGGGTGGTACAGGACCTTAGAAGTCATCTGAAAGTATATGTTAAAAAATGGAAGACTTGTTTAAAGATAGTTATTCTGGACTCAGGTGGGGAGGCCATGATTAAATGACCTGCGAGGTGTCTTTGAAGGTACTAAAGCTGTAATTGATAAAGGAGCATTGGTGGACATGGAAGAGTTGGATATTTCAAAAGACGTGTGAGAGGGCTTCAAATCAGAGACTGATGGGCAGGGGGGAGCCGTGAGATCTGGAGCAAGATAGCTGCTGAAATGGGAAGCTGTCTGAGAAATATAAATTGGAAAATGAAGTTTATACATTATTTTGGTGTGGAAAATGAAAGATAATATCACGTTTGAAGCTTGTATTGAAGTTTGAGAGGGAATGTATTCAAATATCATATCTTTATTAAACAAGGATTGTGGCATGAAATAACTGCATATTAAGACACAAAGACTTAATTTTGTACTGTAGACTATAGCATGTTTTGCATTTGTTCAATTAGTGATAGTTGATACCACCAGATAGGTAGTTGCTGATTTACACAAAATGAACATTTTAAGTCAGTCCAGCGGGTGCTGTGTATTAGCAAAGTTTTTCTTTAAGCCTGTCAGATAGTGATATAAAATTCTGGTTTAATTTTAAAAAATAATTTTCCATAATTGGACATGTTTGGACTATGATAGACAAACCAAACCAAATAATGGTCAAATATCAAATTTGCAGACAAAAAATTTCCACGGAAGTTTGGTTAATCCCAAACTGTATAGTGGGTCTTCTGCCCCTCTAGTCCCCCTGAAAAATAACAATATTATAACTGTTTTTTATTCTGGTTTATATTTGACATATTTAAAGATTCTTTTTTGCTGCAGAGTAGCTGCTTATGCAGACTTGATATCTCAAACTAAAAGCATCCATCTTCAGGTGCTGGGATGCTGAAGGATCTTCCCCCACTCTGCAGAGACTTCCAAGGCTATAATGAGATTGTATAATCCTTTGTGTATATGAGATGAACACATAAATGAATTTGCCACAGTTAGACATACCCACAGTCAGTCTTTCTGGTTTCAAAATAGCTGTGTGTCTCCTCTATGCCTTTAGACTTGCCTCAGAGACAACACAGTAATTTGCAGAAGTGGGATCATGCATTTGGTCACTCATATAATGCCATTGACTTCCGTGGAGTTAAAGAATGAAAGAAATGAATGAATGAGTGAAAGTTTAGGTCCCTTGCCAATGAACTGAGAGCAGTCCTTTCTATGCTTCCCTGCTGGGTGTCTTCTCTACGCTGGAAAGAGAAGTTAGGTAGGGAGGACTTAATGTGAAGGTGGATGTGTACATACAGGGATTATCTAGTTTTTTCTGTGATATCCCTTGTCATTTCAAGCTAAATTAGTAATTAACCTTACTAAGTTTTACTTGCTAAAAAGAACTAAACCAACTTTAATAGTGTTGGAAGACCTCTGTGGGAGGCATGCAGTTGGTAGGTTGTTCAAATAGTTCACAGTCTGTTTGAAAAAGGATTCTGATACAGCAGCAGGTAATATTATAAGAAATTCTTAAAATGCATTAAAAGACATTAGCCTTGGAATTACATTAGCCTTGGAGATTTTGATGGTTAGCTACCTTGAGCTGGGGCTGACCAAAATCTGGCACAAGTAGGGAAAATAAGATGTAGAGTTTAGAAAGGCCTTTCTAAAGGCCACCCTTGTGGGAGCCTTCTGAGAGGTCAGAGCTGTACAGCCACTACCCAGGAGAGTATATGCGTGCTTTGAGCAGTCCTGTTAAAGTCATTGGGTCTACTTATAACCTTAGCTGTTCTTCTAAATCAACATTTTTAATGGTGGCAGTGGAAGAATAGCTTTAAGCCATAGGTTTATTTTAGTGTTTAAACTACTGTGTAACAGAAAAAGAGAGTGAGTCCCCTTACTAATTTTATCACTTCTGTTAGGTCACCCCACTGTCCCCTGTGTTCTGATGACACAGGAAGGGTAAGTCCTTCTTTCACCTCTGTATCTGGTGTCCTGGAACCACCTTTGTTGCCCTATGCTTCAGCATCCCCAGGGTAATAATATACGATGAAAGGTAGGTTGTCTTTCAGACAGAAGTGTAAATTCTGTCTACAAGGAAAAAAATAGCTTGTGGTTTCACATGCTATTCATTTATCAGTCCCTCTGCTCTCTACTTTAGCTGAAAATTGAAAACTGCAGTGATTTCTAAGCTAACTCCAA